GAGACGGACGTTTGCGTGGTGAGAGGGGCGGGAAAGCCGGTGTATTCCCGCTACGGCTCCGAGGAGGCGCTCTCCAGCACCACCGGGGTGATGATGGCCCTGGTGTCCTTCCTGGAGGCGGAGAAGAATGCCATCCGGTCTATCCATGCAGGTACCTGGTGGCAGGGGCACGCGCTCCCTGGGGGCGTTGGCTGGGCTTAGACGTGACGCTCTGGCGACCGCTGTGCAGAGCAGCTGGGGCAGGGCAGGCCTGGGCCCGTCTCAGCTGTAGCTGGCCCCGCACCGGCGCACGCAGCTGTAGCTGGCCCTGCACCGGCGCACACCATTGCCTGACGTGCACACGCGGCTGTAGCTGGCCCCGCACCGGCGCACACCATTGCCTGACGTGCACACGCGGCTGTAGCTGGCCCCGCACCGGCGCACACCATTGCCTGACGTGCACACGCGGCTGTAGCTGGCCCCGCACCGGCGCACACCATTGCCTGACGTGCACACGCGGCTGTAGCTGGCCCCGCACCGGCGCACACCATTGCCTGACGTGCACACGCGGCTGTAGCTGGCCCCGCACCGGCGCACACCATTGCCTGACGTGCACACGCGGCTGTAGCTGGCCCCGCACCGGCGCACACCATTGCCTGACGTGCACACGCGGCTGTAGCTGGCCCCGCACCGGCGCACACCATTGCCTGACGTGCACACGCGGCTGTAGCTGGCCCCGCACCGGCGCACACCATTGCCTGACGTGCACACGCGGCTGTAGCTGGCCCCGCACCGGCGCACACCATTGCCTGACGTGCACACGCGGCTGTAGCTGGCCCCGCACCGGCGCACACCATTGCCTGACGTGCACACGCGGCTGTAGCTGGCCCCGCACCGGCGCACACCATTGCCTGACGTGCACACGCGGCTGTAGCTGGCCCCGCACCGGCGCACACCATTGCCTGACGTGCACACGCGGCTGTAGCTGGCCCCGCACCGGCGCACACCATTGCCTGACGTGCACACGCGGCTGTAGCTGGCCCCGCACCGGCGCACACCATTGCCTGACGTGCACACGCGGCTGTAGCTGGCCCCGCACCGGCGCACACCATTGCCTGACGTGCACACGCGGCTGTAGCTGGCCCCGCACCGGCGCACACCATTGCCTGACGTGCACACGCGGCTGTAGCTGGCCCCGCACCGGCGCACACCATTGCCTGACGTGCACACGCGGCTGTAGCTGGCCCCGCACCGGCGCACACCATTGCCTGACGTGCACACGCGGCTGTAGCTGGCCCCGCACCGGCGCACACCATTGCCTGACGTGCACACGCGGCTGTAGCTGGCCCCGCACCGGCGCACACCATTGCCTGACGTGCACACGCGGCTGTAGCTGGCCCCGCACCGGCGCACACCATTGCCTGACGTGCACACGCGGCTGTAGCTGGCCCCGCACCGGCGCACACCATTGCCTGACGTGCACACGCGGCTGTAGCTGGCCCCGCACCGGCGCACACCATTGCCTGACGTGCACACGCGGCTGTAGCTGGCCCCGCACCGGCGCACACCATTGCCTGACGTGCACACGCGGCTGTAGCTGGCCCCGCACCGGCGCACACCATTGCCTGACGTGCACACGCGGCTGTAGCTGGCCCCGCACCGGCGCACACCATTGCCTGACGTGCACACGCGGCTGTAGCTGGCCCCGCACCGGCGCACACCATTGCCTGACGTGCACACGCGGCTGTAGCTGGCCCCGCACCGGCGCACACCATTGCCTGACGTGCACACGCGGCTGTAGCTGGCCCCGCACCGGCGCACACCATTGCCTGACGTGCACACGCGGCTGTAGCTGGCCCCGCACCGGCGCACACCATTGCCTGACGTGCACACGCGGCTGTAGCTGGCCCCGCACCGGCGCACACCATTGCCTGACGTGCACACGCGGCTGTAGCTGGCCCCGCACCGGCGCACACCATTGCCTGACGTGCACACGCGGCTGTAGCTGGCCCCGCACTCCAGCTCCTGCGCCTGTAGCTCTAGCCCACTCCTGCATCTACCTCCCACCCAGACCCCCACCCTCAAGCTGCTCCCTGGCAGCCCCCCTCCTGCACACTGCCTGCCCCCCTCCCTTGTGGCCCCACCCCAGAGCCTAGGGGCCCTCAGAAAAATGAAAC